ATCGTTGTCATACCTGTTTGACCTAGTTATAACATGTAACACGGCAAAGAAATCCGCGGCTACGCGGCCCCGAATCGAGCCAAATTTTACTTGGGATGTTAGTCCCAATCTGGGTTTTATCCACATATGGATACTATGCTTTAGTTGGGCACCTTCCAAATAAGCTGCTCATCAACAATCGCCAACTCACTAGATGAAGAACTTCTAAGAAGTAGAACATGATTGCGCCAGGCATAGTGACCGGCACTGGATCTATATACCGTTAACAAAACACTGCGGACGCGTTGCCGCAAAGCTTGCTGTACTCGAGGGTATAACAAATTCCGACGCAGAGACGTTGATTCGACGAGGACCGTCGTGACCGCATGTTATGACAGGTTATAGTGAGGCCATGACTCGTCTAATCGGAAAGCATTAAGGACAGAGCTCGAAAGCCCGCTCCCGTTAAGTACAAATTCTGCAGATAGTCAAGATATCTGAGCTCGACCACTCAGCAGCGAAGAAGTCCGGCGGATTTGTAAGGCTAAATCATCTCTGAGTCTGAAAACCCAGCTGACATAGGCGATAACCACAGAAGGATTGTGCACAAACTCTACACCGTTGCCATAAACAGATAGCCACCCCGAGATGAGCAAGTAGGCAATGGTCGTGACCAGCTGCTGGCTATCCATCCGCACATCATGCAGTAATGACTGTATCAGAGCAAGGACCGCTCGCGAGAGAGTCCATAGGACACTAAGGTCCGCAATTGGACATTCATCTGGATACGAACAAACCATTGACTACCGGTGCTGACTCTGAGGAAGCTTTACTACTGGTCGTGGCCAGTCGACTTCAGAGACATCCAAGTACCATATCTTATCGCTTTAAGTGACACACCTGTTTACTGGGGCTTCAACCGAAGAAAGCTTATCTGGGCAAGTATATAGTGGTTGAGATCGACCGGCTCGCGTTAGATACCATATTCTGTCAATGCTATAGGTAAAACACTTGTTCACTGGGCCATCAACAGAAGAATGAAGGCTGTATCTGGAAAAATATACCAGTAGTCGAGACCATCCTGCTCGAAAGCCATCCGAATACTATATCCCAACAGTGTTATAGGGTGAAACACCTGTTCATTGGACCTTCAACAGACGGGCTTTGTCTGGGTACACTGGTGGTCAAGACCAACCGGCTCGAGAGCCAACCAAATACCATATCCTACGCTATGGTGAAGCACCTGTTCACTAGGCCTCAACATATAACGGCTTTATCCGGGCAGCAAGTTTTAAGACTCCGGCTCGAAAGCCATTAAGCCATCGTACATCGTCTCGTGTGTGACGACACCAACATATTTGGGCGCTTGACTGGAAGTTGCTGCTAACGATGCCCCCATCTGGATAAGAACAAATCAGCTGTTATCGACCGACCAGTCGGCTGGAGTCACACTATCATAGAAGGCACGAACACATTTCAATGCTGCAATCAGCCTGAGAGGATTCACTCTTGTTCCTAGTAGCGGTGAGACTTTGGCAGCGATGGGAACCTTCCAGAATCATGTTAGCGAACTCAAGTTGAACGCCGGCGATTCCTCCATTATATATGGGCTCTTGAGCTAATCGTAAAGTCAAGGATTCCAAGGGACCGGAAAGTGGCTGCCTATGAGGCACATGAACTATCAAGAGCTGATGTTGGCAGAGAACCAACTAATCACGTGGTCAACTTAGAAGCGTATGGCTAACATGTGCTTTGCTGCAAACTAAGAGATCAGATTACCTGATCGTGAAATACCATGTTTATGACAAAAAAAACTTTATAAACAGTAGATTTCATGTGCACTGAAGAGAAGCTACCGGATGTGAAAGTGCGAGCGCTGTAGGCGATGAGCACGTTGGTTGAAGACAAAAGTTAAGAGAGCGAACTAGCTATGACTGGTTACATAGCTGCAGTTGCTTCGTAGTCTCCTGATGACATATAGCCGATTAACTAGAGAAACGCAGGAGCATCCATTCACCTCTGTCAACGGATCGAAGCGACTACCAAAAATGTTTGAGCTCGAGAGCCACTATCTTTGAAGGTTGAAACCGTAACACTTACTGCTAGCTTCCACGTATCTGCTCTACCACTTCGTAATGAAGCGGTGCATTTTTCTATCCTCGATCGCTTGCAAAAGGTTCGGCGATGTTACTGATCCATCATCGTATCGTCGTATCGTAGGTAATATGTAGCGAATTTATGACAGACGACCGCTCCATATGCGTCAAAACGCCTGGATGACCAGTCATCCTTGTTTTGCTCGAAGCAGTCATACCCCGCCTATTGGCTGCGAGCCAATCGACGAAAGTCGATTACGAAACATGTTGTTCAAAATAACACTTTCCGAAAAAAAATTTTTTTTTGCTTATCAATCTATATTTTTCCACAGATTTGAGAACCTGACCTAAGGCAACGTGCACTTATAGAGAATGGTTTGGTGCCTCTGATGAACTTTGCCGCACTGAAAAATATGGATTTTTTAGAAAGTTATAGCACGTCAAAGTGAGAATTCGCAAAACGCGCATTACTTTTGCACCAACCTAATAGGTCTTACTCTATAATAAAGCAAGGTTTCATCCGTCGAAGCGCTTCTGAACATTTCACGTAGTTAAAGACTAAAATATAGGAAACAGTATCCTTTAAAAGAGTAACAGCGGGGTGACGCATCGCTCTGAAATTTCTTCAAACTTGAGCGCAGAAGTTCTCTTACTTATGAAAGGGTACGTACTAAAAGAGCTCTTACTTTGAATTTCCGGATATTCCTCTAAACCTGGAAAGTTTAAGGGTATGTTAAAGAAAGTCACTGCGTTCGTAATCGAAGCTTTTAGAAAGGCTCTATGCTATTTGTCTTCCGCTAATATTCCAGCTATTAAGACCAAAATGGAATGCAAGTTGGCATCCTGACCATCAACTAAATCTATAGGATAAGAAGTGTAAAGTTTTCGAATCTTTGGCGCAGTTTTCTGACAATATAGCGCAGTCTCAAAATAATATGAGCAACAAAGAATTGCCTCAGTTGACAACATAAACACCTCTTCACAGTAGGTCCTTCATAAAATTTATATTGGGGGCCTGCTAAGATAAGCCTGAATAAGTCATTTTGAAGCACTTTGAATGAATTTGCAAGGGAGTTGGGCAGTTTGTGAAACCGGAAGGGCATTTTGACAGTAGAATGTTTTGGAGTTAGAGTGGAGTTGTGCGCTATCACAAATTTTTGTAAGAGAAGGAAGGAGTGTTTTGATTTATAGAATTTTGGACGTGGGTTCAAATTTTGGTTAGATTTTTCAAAAAATATTGAGTTCAATATTCATGATTCAATTCGCGAAAAGTAGCAAGTCAAAGTTGGAAATACTAACGCACTTTGGAGGTAGACTTAGGCTGAAATTTTTTGTCGAGTGTGAGAGAACCACTGCGGTCTAAGGACATCTTGCGGGACCTCATGCTCCTCGCAAGATGTAGGAGAAAAAAGAAATTTTGGCACGTATATCAAAGGCAGGTTCAGGCTAAATCTAACCCCCTCCGATTAGCGTCATCCTGAATATAGATCCCACGAGAGGGGCATCTGCGTTGGTCCGGTCCTCTAATGTTGTCTCTGAATGGAGATAAGGGACCTGAAACAGCCAAAATGCCATCAGACTCCGCCCACCCATGTACTGAAAGCCTCCCGCCCCCCTTAAAGGCAGTACATCGGCAGAATGAGATCCGTGACAAAACAAGGTCACAGGGTAGGAGCCCCCATATGGAACCTATCGGCCAAAGTCCGATCTTTGTCTGCCACCTCTAACCCCCGAAATTTCAGAGGGAAAGCAGCGCTCATCTCCTGTCCTCTCCGAACCCCCCCCCCACCCCATGGACGAGTGAACGCGCAGCTCGTCATGGCGAAGACGCAGAGTCGTTGCGGGACCTCATGCTTATAGCATTGCGACTGGCGCTCTGACCGCGGAAGTCACCGCGGAAGTCCATGGGGTGGGCGGGTTCGGAGAGGACAGGAGATGAGCGCTGCTTTCGCTTTGAAATTTCGGGGGTTAGAAGTGGCAGAGAAAGATCGGACTTTGGCCGATAGGTTCCATATGGTGGCTCTTACCCTGTGACCTTGTTTTGTCATGTCTCATTCTGCCGATCCACTGCCTTTAATACAGGTGTCCAGGAACCGGGTTTTTCGGGGGTTTTAGCTATTTGAACTTCATAACTGTGATCATGGCCACGGAAAGACCACGGAGTGGCAAAAACATGGAAGGCAAAATCTTGAGTTGACGCTGCCTTTAAGTCTCTATCGTTATCAGGCCAAAACTTTCGCCAAAACCGTGGGCCAGCGCAAAGGGTTTGCGCTGTATTTGCGCCCTATAGCAGTCCGGTAGATTAAAGAAATTGAGGGAACAGACAGGTCTTCACGCCGCCACCTCTAGCAAATCGCAGAGCAATTGCGGAGTTCGGAGCGCGTTATGTCGGTTTGTGCCAGTTCCGGATGAAGACAGACTATGAACACATAAATGACATTATCGTAACTGTGAGCTGAATCTGGAGAGTGTGGGAGTGCAAAAAAAGATTGATAGTTCAGGCAGTTTTGTACTGAATCTTTTGTGTAGGGGATTGGGGGCAAATCCGGGAAAGACAAGGGTGTGTGATGCATTGACTTTTTAGCTTTTGGGTCCAGAAAACTGTCAAAGTGATCCTTGAAAGTCTCTGCTTTTGATAAAAGTGAATATTGTTGCAGCAAGCACTGCAAAATTTTCCAAACTTGAACTTTTCAATACTCGACTATCATTCGACATCAGGAGTATTGCGCTATGGTTTGCCTTGTTTGTCTGTTATCTTTTCTTGAAGTTCGTGATCAAAATTCCGAAAAATAAGTGAGGTTACACATCTTGAAAATGTTGCGTTGGGATATAATATGTTTTTACCATGATCATTTCTCAAAATTACCTTACTGAGTATAAAACCTTTTCAAATCAGTAGCTGTTTTGGTCAATATAGACTTTGAGGTTTGTGTGGATGTTGCTCGACTCGGCCCGGCTTGACAATATTGCCACTGCCGATCGACGACTTCTTTATGCCAGTGATGTAAGTTCACAGTTTTTTTTTGTATTTTTCGCGGCAGTAACAGTTAAATCATATCCTTGCTTGCCTACCATGAATTTTAAATGTATATTATTGTATTATTTAAATGTAATACCTATAGGGGCGTTTATTCAGCAGGCAAAACCGGAGTATATGAATTTTCACTGATCGCTTGAGAACAAACGATGTCTTGAAATGTTACCACCTTTGTGCTTGAATCTTTGTTGAATTAAAAATGTTAGAAATACATTGTGTATACTCGGATTTCAACGTATTCTGATTGTTAAACTCATTCAATGATTGACTTGGTATCATCAAGTAGCCTGATCGAGCTTTTTTCCTTTATTGATATCCATGTTCGTATTCTGTTCTATGCCGTCTTTGTGTGATATCAATAGTGGGTCCGATATTCTGTGGTTTTTGATCTTGTTCTGGCTTGGAGAGGCGGAAATTGCAGACATATTGGGTATATCTTCTAATACTCTTCGATTCAACGGGATTGGCACCTGGGGGGGGGGGGGGGGTAGAGGGTTAAATAAGGCTAGAAAATGATCAAAGAGCGCGCTTGCGAAAGAGATGCAGAGTGGCCTTCCAGCCGCCATCCCCGCTGAATCAGAGGGTATAGGGTACGATTCATCTGTTCCCAATTTTGCCGCAAATTTAGTCGTTTTTTCAAAGAAAATAACCTCTTTTTTAATGCATTTGGCGCGTGAATGTACAGAAAAAGACAGAACATTTTTAATTTGTACTTTTATTTTTGCATGAATATTGTGTGATGACGACAAGTTCCGTAACTCAGGAATCACTAAAGTTTCCGTGTTTTTGGTAATGTATTAGGTTGGTGCATAATTCATGCACCAAAATAGGTACAGACCGCAATAATCTGGAATAATCCTATATCCCAAATAGGATTCTATATATCGTTAGATAGAGCAAACCTAGCTCTACAAGATAATGTTTAAAGTTTTGCAGCAGCTTTGATGCAAGCGAAGATTGAGGCCAAAAACGAAAAAGATCCAAGCGCCCCAAAAAACCAAAAAAAAAACTGGAAGTCCGTTCAGAAAAATCCTTCAAAATTTCTAACTTGCTCATACATTGCCATTTCGTATAAGACATCTCTCTATGCAGTTGCTGTATTTTTTCTCAGCTAGAATTTGAGAAAACGAAGTTTTTCATGTTTATGCCAAATTAGGCTGAGATGTTCTAGCACTAACAGTTGTATAGTACATATTATTAGCAGCAAAACTCAACATTTTCAGCCTTATAGAGGGACTAGTTCACGAGATACATCAAATCTAGCTCTCCTTATCTGAATTTTTTTTGCCTAGTTGCTTAAAATTCGATATTTCTTGTCAACCAACCGCTGTAAAGCTGAAAATTCACACTCATGTTTCTAAGGTCCTAGAAACTGTCAGCGCTTGAACATCTCAGCATTGTTTCGTAAAAAACATGAAAAAGATCGTTTTCTCAATTTCTAACTGGGAGAAAAATACAGCAACTGCATAGAAAGATGTCTTATACGTGATGACAATGCATGAAGTCAAAAATTTTCAAGGATTTTTCTGAACGGACTTCCAGTTTTTTCTTGGTTTTTTGGGGCGCTTGGATCTTTCTCGTTTTTGGCTTCAATCTTCGCTATCAAAGCTGCTGCAAAACTTCAAGCACTATCTTGTAGAGCTAAGTTTGCTCTATCTAATGATATATCGAATCCTTTTTGGGATATAGGATTATTCCGGTATGTACCTATTTTGGTGCAAGAATTATGCATCAACCTAATACTTTGTATTCGACTTTGAGATCTTTCATAATTTTGTGACATGCAGGAGAATAGAAGATAGTTTTAAGACAGTTTTATATAACTCTAAATTAGCTCTATTCCCCTAAATCTGAGTAATTTGAAAATTGAGT